GAGTAAAAGGGAAAATAGGCAACAGTACTTCCGGTGCTGCTACGAGATAAAAGTTGGTTGCCTCGTCCTGCCATTTCTGAAGGCCTTGTAATATGCTTTGTAGGTCAGATAGAAGCATATTTTTTGATGCCACCTGTACCGACGATTTGTCGGACGTACATGGTATGTACTGACGTGATCTTCTTTGGTAGCGTGGAAAGACGGAAATACCAAGGCGGCCGGGGTTCGATTCCCCGATCGGACGTGGAAATGTATGGGGTCACCTGCCCGACCACGTTGGTGTTCTCCGGGTACTTTGGACCAACAAGAGTTGAATGACCTGTTTCATATAATTGTTGTAAAATAAATAAAGTTCATAAAAAGCGAAGCTCACAATATTCATATGCCAACATTTGCACGGAGCATGAGTCACCGCATGGTGCAACATTGTAGAAAACGAATATGGTGCTCTGTACTTATTTGTTTCGTATTACAATGCAGGACTTGCCGAGATGCTTCTTTGTTTAGGTGACCGTCTCGGGGCATCGCTGGATATGATACCTTGACACTGTTAAAACCTAGGCATTGGGTTCTTTTTATAGCTTGAAGGTCTTTGGTTGCTAAGATATGTGTGGATGTTTACTTGAGGTTTTATGTTTGTGTATTTGCCTCCTTACAATAGTGCGGATCTGAACTACTCTGTCGAATGCACCTAGCACAGTATTACACCCGGTCCCATCATACTGACAACGGGTAAACTAGTTGTTACGATTCCCTAAAATCTTAGTGTTTAGCAGGCAATACCAACTACCATCTTTAAGGACTTTGGCGTGTCCCAGCCTGGAGTAGCACTTAGCATCACATCCACTCTATCGCATGGAGGTAAATACACCAACGTAACGCATCAAGCACACTTACATGCACATATTACACACATGAAGGCACGCCCTTCAAATGAACTGAGCTTTGAATAGGTCGCGCAACCGACGAAACTAAACAATCATATGCGATTTTTTAAACTTAGTGGGAATGATTAGCGCGTAGTTGTTATTGTTCCAGTTGATCTCTGTGATGGTTCATGCGGTTTGCTTTGGTTTTAGTGCTTCCACGGTCAAAGCTTGTCCCATTTTGTCCCCTTGGTTCTAGTTGTTCTCTGTGATTGTTCATGCCATTTGCTTTGGTTTTAGTACTTCCTCGTTCCAAGTTTGTCTCATTCTGTCCTCTTGGTTCCAGTTGGTCTCTGTGATGGTTCATGCCATTTACTCGGGTTTTAGTGCTTCCTCGGTCCACGCTTGTTCATTCTGTCCGTTCAGTTCCAGTATGGATATGTCTGTCCGCTCGATTCCAAAGGTTTTGTCTCATTCTGTCTGGTCGGTTCAAGTTTGTCTCTTTCTGCCCCGTTCCAGTTTGTCTCATTTTGTCCCCTCGGTTCCAGTTTGTCTCATCCTGTCCCCTCGGTTCGAGTTTGTCTCATTCTGTCCCCTCGGTTCCAGTTTGTCTCCTTCTGTCCCAACGGTTCCAGTTTGTCTCTTTCTGCCCCTCGGTTCCAGTTTGTCTCATTCTATCCGCTAGGTTCCAGTTTGTCTCTTTCCGTCCGCTAGGGCCAGTTTTGTTTCATCCTATCCCGTAGGTTACAGTGTGTCCTATTCTGTCTGTTCGGTTTCAGAAGTCTGTATCAGTTTGTCCCCTCTATTTCAGTTTGTTCTTTAATCCCAGTGAGACTAATGTATCAGGTTTACAGTAAATATACAGAAGATTGACGTTTTACGTATTTGTTGTTCAGATTTTCCATTACATCGGGTTGAAATAGGTCAGCTGTCAGAGAATAAACCCACGCGCTGATTACACATGTATGACGTCAGTATAAACATGTTGTGAACGGTCCCGGATGCGGTATCTATAGAGCGATTTAGTGAAAGTAATACGATCATTTACCTAAAGGCCAGAAAAAGTTAACTTTGACTAGACGTAGTAGCTGTTTACAATGATGCCATGCGGAATACATCAATCATCTGTATCCTTTTAGGAATTAATAAATATTTATATGTCTATAAACACGAATGGATATGATAAATTGAAAAGAAAGATATAGAAAACGAAAATGACGTCAAATCGTGAGAATATTTTTTTCAATTTACTATTACCTTGGACCAGCATAGGATACATAAGATACAGTACCTGATTCATTTGGTTATAGATCTAGTCGGTACATATATCTTTGCTAGACGTGACCAAGCACCGACTGCTGCTAATGAACGCGCCTCGGACCTGTCAGTTGTCCGTATACAGCCAACAGTTGACAGCTGAACATCGATCAGAGAACAGTTACAAAGAAATAACTAGGACTCTTTTAAATTCAGAATGTACTTACAAGCATTTACAATATCTTATCGACTAGGTTAATTGTTTTTGATTCATGTACTGTATGTTTGATAACATCTGTTTAGAATGCGATTGTTATTTATACAGTACATCGTAACTTAGGTTACAATATAATAACATGTAGCATATATACATTAATCAATACAATTTTGAGGAATTCGCAGGAGCTGCCTTATCAGACGCCAACTACTAGTCCTATGCAACCTGGCTAATATCGCCATGTGTGTATGCCTGCATGTGTTGGAGATGCATTGTGTTTTGTTTGTAGTGGGACCGTGCTTCCAACGGTTTCATTTATAGTGGCGCCTCACTTGAATGCTACAACACAAATACCGCAACATCCACCCCGAACATTTTATACTCAATCTGGGTTGTTGGAGTTTCTCTGAATATTCCATGCGCACGACGACCTCGGGGATCGAACCCCGGTCGCCTGCGTTGAAGGTTGGAGTGTTAACCACTCGACCAATCCGCCCTATATGTTTAATTAATACCACGTCCTCAATGCAAGAACCGCGGTTGTGACAACGAAACAAGACGCACTAATAAGCTTATTCAAAAACATCGACGCTCATATCGCACACAATTTGGATTTCAGCTTTAACGGGTTAACCGTCCTTTCAACAGCTAGACATTAAAGGACGTGCGTCCATATATGTGACGTATGTTTATGTGCTGAGGTGCGATGTTGGTGGACATCACACAGAGAAATTGTATTTTTTCCAATGAGATCATGTTGACAATAATGAAACCTTTTCTATTCTGTATAGTTGTTAAATTTCGTAGGGTTAATATTTCGCGATTTTGTCTCCCGAACTTATTGGCAGGGGTTTGAATTTCGCGCATTACAATTTCTGTAAGTCTATTTCGGGCTTTCTGGGTTTCTTATTCTTATTTTAACTGTTAACCTTTTTATATAGTGCACTTCTTTCAAAACGATGTGTTGACCTAGTAGTTTCATGTTAACTGAAATCAAGGACGTGTGAAGCAAGATTAGTATGGCAACGATCTCAAAATATTCACAAGAGATTAAATTTCTCGAATTTGTACGCATTCACGAAATTAAAATCCTCGTGAACATTAGCAGCTATATAGTAGTTGTGATAAGCCTGCACATGAAGACCTAGCGTTTTAAAATTATCCCTCAGCAGTCGACATTTATCGCGTAAATTCTGATATTCGGAACAGGTCTTTGAATACTAAACCAACCGCGACATGTTAACACCGTCAGTCGGTAAAGTGGGTACTACCAAGAAAGGGAAAGTTCATGATCCAAAAGTTTTAATCGCCATGCTTATCGTGCAGTCGTCCCCACCCCTGCAGGTCGTGGTTGTAAGAGGCAACTAATGCGTTAACACCCTGCAGACTTGGAGATTTCTTTTTTGTTCTCCACTTGTTGACACATGACGTTTTGTTTCCTAGTGCCTCATTTGGCAATACATAACTGTTGGCCTTTGTATTGAACGTTTGTCAAAATGGGGAAGAAAATTGGGTTGTCCCCAGGCCGAGGTATACCAAAAATAGTCTTTAAAATGGTATTTGTTTCTCCCTCAGAACGTTAAGCAGTTCGGGTAATCACAAGAACTGGCTATTGCCTGGTATTTTAGCGAGGTAGCACCCTTCATTATGTGCATTAGTGTGCCTTGTGGATTTTCTTGTCAGTTCCAGAGTTCTCGAAGTGAGGATGGATATCCCTTGGATATGTCCTTCATTTACGTGGCAGGTGTCAGCAATAAAGCTGAAGACACATAACCTTCTAGAACACCTGGTCTTATTTTCAAGCATCCCATGTACATCTTTCCTTTGATCTGGCTTTGCCCTTGTTTATTGATTTCGAGTTCGAATTATGGTTTTGTTGACACTTCGGTATACTGTTTGCTGTTGTTCCAAGGGGACTCAATCCTATGTAGCCTTCTAAGCTTGGAGAAGAAGTGCGGGGTTCAATAAGGAAAATATTGGTGTTTCTTTAAAATCTGTTAACTTATTGATGACAGGATTCTAACCAAATAAAATTTGGAGCATCTATGGGCCAGTGGGATTTAATGTTGAATGGATGGTGTGGCCCCATTTGGGCAGAGGGGTGGGGCCAAATTGCAGAAGAAATACAAATCTTTAAAATACTATTTTAGTGCACTACATTTGGTCTGTAGTGTAAAAACAAGTGATATGAATCATCTCAGGCCCGAAGTTTCATTTTTGCTTTGAAATCCTACTTTTACTCAGGTTCAACGATCTTAACCATGTTTTATTGTACATATAAATAGGACAATGTGATCATATTTTACCTAATGTGACACTGGGAGTTGAAGGGTGAGCCACAGGAAGAATGATACTGTTCCCTCACCACCTTACCACTAACAACTACATTGATGATACCAGGCTTGCCCCCAAGGTCCAGGCCCATCCTAGGTGATTGCTTGGAAGGAGTTGAAATTTCTACCCCATAACCATATATACAATTACTGGCAATGCAAAAACAAACATAGTGGGTTCAGCCCCGCACTGGGGATTTTCCAGAAGTCATAACAAGGAAACATTCTAGATACCAACTCTATAATCCTATAAACACAATCATACTACCAGAAATTGTTCCGGGTCAGCCTCGCCCCTACTGAATTAGTCTCTAAGCAAGACATAGAAATGGTTGAGATTTTATTTAACACATTTCTGATATAAATCAATCTTAGGATGGAGAGAAAAAAGGCTATTGTCCCACTAGGTTCTGTGAGAGATTGAAAATGGCAAAAATATTTGTTATGTTGCGATTAATGAGAATATATTTTTCATGACAGAATGAATATCCAGGTGAATATCTTGTTGCAAAAAGTTAGAGACTATTCACTTTGCCTCACGACACACTGAATATTTCTGATTGCTTCCATATAACACAGTGACGCAGAAATTACATATGGTTTTTAGTTTATTGCGCTGCCAGATTTGACGAGTTTGTTAGTTTGTCCTCCAGTTCATTGTAATGTCTGTGTAACGTTTTGATTTGTTCTTCAAAGTCCTCGTCAATTTGTTCACATTTATTGAGCTGCATGTTGGTATAAGTCTCCCAGTCCTTGTTTCTTCTTTCTCTACCCTCCTCTAAAATAGAAGTCTGAAATCACAGGAAACATTTTAATAGTGTGGGTATTCTTATACATTAGTACTGTACTGTATACATCCTATTCTTTGAGAATAATCTATTTTTCAGAAGTACAATGTTTCCTACATATGCTTTAAATTAGCTTTTTAGTATGTAACAATATTGTCAATACTTTATTACACAAAACTGTCAACATTTAAAATGTGTGTTCAAAGTATCAATTATTCAATGTACTTACTTTCTAACAGGTCTTTCCTGTATTGAAACAACAGGCTACATATGTTGTGTAATCCCATTGCTCTAACCAATAACATATTTTGCATTGAATTGTACATGTCTTTCCAGTGAGGAAAGACACATTTTACAAGTGAGAATAGAAATAATTTTACCAGGGGAAAAAAAGTATATTGAAAAAAATTACCAAGAAAATTAAAGAAAACAAATTATTAATGAGAAGAGACACTTTTTACCAGCGAGAAGTGATTCAATTTAACAGTGTAAAGAGAAAACAATTTCATCAGGGAGAAGAGAATATTGGTGAGAAGAGAAACAGTATTACATTTGATAAAAGACACTTTTAGCCGAGGAGAGGAGACATTTTCTTCAAAGAGAAGAGACATTTTGTAAACAAGAAGAGAATTCCTATTTACTGTGAGAAGATGCACGTTTTTTCAAGCAGGAAGTCGGACATGTTTTTACCAGGGAGAAGATAGAGAAAAATATGGTTTTTACCTCAACATTGTTTCCTTTTTCTTCTATTTTGTGGCAGACTTCTGTGGCTACTTTCACTTTAGAATAACAGAACACAGAATCATCATATTAAAACATTTCAATTCTTTTTAAACAACCACACAACCTATATGTACATTTTTGTGACAATTTAAATATGTCTTTCATCCATATATACGCACCATATTTTTGTTTTGCTCAATATTTATTTATAACTACAAGTCAGAGCAGTTTATTATTGAAGACTGACAGATCAAATAATACACATTCCACAAATTAAATAATTTCATCTTTCCCACTTGTACCATATTCATACTACACATCAAATTATATCATCTGCCTGGCATATCAATATACATCCCACACACCAAATAAGGCCCAAGAGATCTATCCAGTTGTTCTTGAGAATTGGTGAAAACAATTTTGTCAAAATCAAAGATGGCCATCTGGCAGCCATCTTGTTCCTCTGATCAGTCTTTAAAAAACCATGCATAACTATTGACTAAGTTAAAGTAGATAGCAAGGCAGGTCATTTGTATGCTTATAGGAAGAGCACTTCAACATGTATATCAAAGTTGAGAAAGATCTCTAGTTATTGTTAAAAATCACTGAAAATAAGAATTGTTTTCAGTCTGAAGATAAATGGACAGAAAGGCCACAGATGAAAAGCGATTTGATGGGGGTGGGCTAAAAAAAATCATTTTGGTGCCATCTCAATGCCAAGGTTAACCCTTTCACCACTGTAGATCATAATGGACTCATCCAGATCAATGCATATTAGAGTCTACTAAAGTTACATAAGGGTGAAAGGGTTAACTGAACACTGCAGGACATCAAGTACTTCAAAGAAATATCTTACCATCCTAATGACACTAATATGATTACATGCTGACATCCAACTTTTAAATTCGCTAGTCTTTGTACCGGGATATCAGTAAAATAAGATAACATTTAACACTTACACTTGGCGGACACGTTTGCCAAGTAAACCTGCATGGCATCCAAACTTTCTGGTAGTAATGTCTTGTTCATCGTATTTATTTCTCTTGACATTTTCTCTAGTCTCTCTTTTTCTCTGTCACCCCTCTTCTCCTGCACAAAACAAATTATAGTCATGATAAATATCTATTGAATGTGAAATTTCTACACATATCTGTGCTAAGCTTTGCAAACTAAAATTGGTCAACATGACGTAAATAATAAAATGCTGCTGTCTCAAAATTTGAGAGGGTCAGCTGAAGTTTGGAAAGGCCCAAATGTTGCTCCATCAAGTATCATCAGATAGTTTAATGGGCTGTGGGTTAAAGAGAGGTATGCTTGCTGCTCCCTGCATCTGTCTGTAACAGGCAGAGAGGAGGTTTGCCAGGTATCCCTATATCTCAATAATCTCTGTGAAAGTTTGAGGGGGTGCATGTTTGGTGCTACATCCTTTTAAATTGGGGGGGGGGGGGGGGGGGGGGGCGGCATTCATGCATATGTATTAGATCCTTGTTCATATTTGTGTGTGTGATAGGGAGGAGGGGACCTTCTTTTGGATACAGTGAATAAAGTTTAAACTGACCCTGTCATCAAATTAACTATAATTGCCTTATGTCAGTCAACAAAGACCCAATATATATATATCAAGCTGCATCTCTTTTTGTTTTGTTCCGTACTAGGGTTGAACCCGGGTCATATATATAAATAAAGGGTTTTTGATTTGTTCGTTCACTTTAAGACTCTGATTTGTCATTTGAGACTCATGCTCCCTGTTGCAATTAATAACTGGGAGTTGTATGAGCGGTCCAAGGCGCAACGCTGCTGTGCCTGCAGTTTGCGACGAGACATTTGTTCACCTTACCTCAAACTCTTTGATGAAATAGCTGACATGACCTTGTAGCACCGGATGATGGTCCAACAGTCTAGCATGGAGCTCAGCTATATCTGCAAAGTGAACACATCCACTTTAATGGACATGAATTTTAAGGTAATAGGATTGTGTCTTTCATTTCTCAGTAGAATTTCTTCAAATTTTGTAGTTATATTACTTTGAAGTAAAGAAAACTTTCTGCCACAAAAAAAAATAGGTTGTAATAATTTTAAGGATTTATTAATCGAAATTTATGTAAAAAGGGGTGATTTCAGAAAAAAAAATGAAAGACACAATTTTTTGCAAACTTAATGTCAATAAAAATGATACTGCCATAGATGAGTATTGCATTAATGTATATCAATTTAATAAATGCTGAAATTATGTCAAATAAATTATCTATAAACGATTAAAAAATGACATTTTATAATAAAACCATATGCACATTATAATTGCAGGTAGGAGTTATCTTTCTTGAAAAACTTCACAGTAGTGAAATAGGTAGCCGCGGTTTCCTGAAGTACAGAAAAATGGATACATGTGGCTCAATGATGAAAAAAATGAATTAATGCCTGCATTGCTTTGAAATACTTTAATATTGAGAGAAAAACACTGTTCTGTCAATAATAAACATACAATATTCATCAGTTTAATATTAAACATTAGAATATGTGGAAATTGTGATACTGTCTCCCTTCATTGGATTTTGAACTAGGGATGTACTTTCTACTTCCGTTTATCAATACACTCCTATGACCTTAATAACAAACACAGTTTAAGGAATTGCATCCCCTCAACCAGAGACACAAAATCTCTTAATCAACATCTCCAATGAGTGTAACTGTAATCGGACAATGATGTAGGTGTCTAACTAAACTTGTTATATATATATACAGAGGATTAAATGTACATAATTTAATGTAGAACAGGTCTATGACTTAATAGTGTTAAGTTAATTGTCATGTATTTTATTGTATCAGAGGGCATGTTAAGTAGGAACCGACCAAACCACCTGTCCTGCTATACACCATTGGAAAATGCTGTATTTATTTAAGTGATTGTTGCTTTTTGATCATTTGTTGTTGTTTTTTTATTCTGAAGTCTTGCTTAATGTCCATTTAAATAAAATAAAAAAAATGTATTTTTTCAAAAAGTAATACCATAATGCTGTGATAATAGTTTAGAAATCCAGTCATGTTTTCCAAAGTTTAACCGTACATGTACGTGATTAGTTAATTTTACAAGACTTGATCTGTTTTAGTGTCATAGGGCTAGGTAGGGATTGGCCCAACCACATGTCCTGTGACACACTCTTCACATGTATCATTTAATCTGTCTAGAGCTGTTAGATATTGTTATGTTAACACCAACTGATCATAAATTATGTCACCAAAGTCTACTTTATTTTACTTTTCATTTATTCATGTACAGTGTGTTCCTATATGTTAATTTCCATGCAATGTTTTTGTTTTATTTGTATATAATTATTTGTCGCAGAAATAGCTCTACTGAGCTTAGTTCTGTAGTTTCTAATATATATGCGAACTGCCACAAAAAATCAATGTGTAAATAACGGACTTTCATCATTTATGCGCAACCGGTTGGACACTATATATAAGTAAAGGAAATAGAATCAAGACATCTCCAAAAGCTAAAAGCTTACAACGATGTATTATACAGCGAAAGATACAGCGAAAGATATTAAATAAAATTCTTGCATCACTAATCTTCTAAACACATAAAATGATCTGTTGGTTTTGATGTTCACCTCGACTGTTGCAAAATATAAAGACTTAATTAGACATGACGATAAGGAATACATAACTTAAACTCATTACCTTTCACAATATGTTCGTTCAGCATGATGGACTTCCTATGTTGTCCTATCGGTGCAAAACGAAAGTTGGTAATCGGCCTGTCACTCCCACCATTGCAAGCCAGGTCATTTGTATGCTTGTAGGAAAGCAGACTACAATGATGTCCCTTCAATCGGGGTTGTACTAAAAACATGAAAGATACCTGAACTGGCAGGAATAAAGAGGAAGGTACCTGAACGGGTATACATCACATCGACAAAAAGTGATTTTTAAGGTAAACAATAATCAAAACAATCAGTCAATTACATTTTTTTTCATTTTTTATTTATTTCAGTATACATTTATATAAATCTAAGAGCTTGTTTAAAGTGAAAATAGTTTTTAATTATTTATTTTTAAATGTTATATTCACGTTGAATTCTATAAGATATAGTTTATGTTCTTGTTGATTAAGTGAAATTAATAGAATTGCATACAAATCATGATCAATAGCATTATTATTCAAAGATACGGTCAGTATAGATGCTGCATTCGGCTTTCAGTAGCTGAAGGCATTATTATTAAAGCATTGAACTGCGTTCAGTTGGCATTCATAGACAATATGAATGCCAACTGGACAAAGACAAATTCAATGAAGCGCGTTAACAATCTAAAAATCGGTCAGTGGCATATATAGCATAAATGAATGCCAACTGAATTTGGTAGGGTTATATAGTGGCAATGCCATATGATGGTAAATATTTGTAAATATCGGTTTTATCACATCTTTTTTTCTTTATTTTTTTCTTAATAGAACTGTTCCGTGTTTTCAGTTTAAGTGTCTTGATACAGGAGCGGATCAATCTTTTATTGTCTACACTGTTGTAATTACTCCTCTACCCAATATGTATTATGAGAGTAATATGCACGGAGATTCTATAGTATGATAGATGTATATGTATTAATGATCCGTAAGAGGGAAGGCGGATGTACCCTATGTATATCCTAGCAAACCTGTTTTTTCTGTGATGTGTCAAAAGGCTGCCAGTGCACGTGGTTTGCGTTTTCGTGCTGTATGCTACCTGTATGCTGATGTGTTCAGGCATATGGTATATGTGCTAGTGTGCTTTACCGTATACAAATGTACCTAACTGTGTACAAAATGCTTTTCATGTGATAAACTCTTTTTCTGTGCTTACAGTACAGTACATGTTTTTTTCTTCAAATTTTCATGTTGTTATGTTTTGTCTCTGCTATTATACTCATGTTTTTGTCGAAATACAAGCTCTTTGTAGCTTATGTTGTATGTTTTGCAAAATCGACGGGAAATAAAAACTCTTGTATACTTGTATCTTGTAGAGTCACCTCAACAAATAACATGTGCAGTAGGAACTCCGCATACTCCGAACAGGACATTGTACGTAACTTGAACCTGCTAAATTCCTATATTCCACACAGAAATATAATTTGTATGTACGAAGTTCGTTTTTCATAGGTTCCGTTGTATAAGGGAAGTAATTATATGTCAACTTCTTATAAGGACAGTAAGAGCATATATCATCGAGAGAGTCAACAGTGATTTACCAAATCACTGGCCGTCGATGGCTTCCAGCTCCTGTCCTCCCTTCTCCACCAAATCTAGCTCGATGAATTACCTGCTGTTGCTGCCAGTCGTTGTACAGCTCTTTCGGTTTCTTCCTTTTACGCGAATTGCCACGAACACTCACAGACTCCATCCCGTACCCGCACTTTATTACTAGGCCGGCGTACTTTTAATTCATTTCTCGCGCTCATACGCCTGATGACGTCAGTCCTCCCAGGGAACGACCGGCTCCCCTGGTACTAGGTTCCTTCTTTTCCCTTGCTGTGCCCGGAGTTGAATGTTTGGATGTAGATTGGATTGGTCGACATGTGGGAAGACCAGTCTGCGTCCTAAATCCACATGCATTTCCCGAACCTGAGCTCCACCATGCATCGCCCTAGTACGCTGTTGTTGTCTCACTCGTCTTTCTGAATCTTACAAAGGGCCGTTCTTTCGTAAATATCCTATGTCTTTTAACCACCGGCGCGTCTGCTACATAGCTCCCGCGCAACCTTACAATGTCTCCACGAATATCATCCTCGTTTTAAAAGCGGTGCTGTACGCCGACATTTTGTAGGTTAAGCTGCACGGTTGGTTATTCTGGTCGTTAGCTTGTAGGTGTTGATAACACGTCGTGCACCGACTGTATAATGTGGAACTAGATCATGTATGGTTCCAGCTTCCAGATATCTGACCACGGCTGTTGACTCCCATCTAGTCCACACACATTGTCCTCCTGTCACGGTATCTATAAGTCTGCTTTATGTTTGACGGACAGGGATGCTAGATTACTACTTTCTTCCTGTTGGAATCCCGATCCCGGCATTCCTGATATGCTGGTCTTTGGAGTCCCTGACACTCATTACTAATCGAGATTATGCTACGTTGAATTCTTCAAACGATGATGATATTGGGAGCTATAGTCTGGAATTCGTGGTGTACAGGCCGACACTGGTGAAACTTGCAGATACTCGGAGTCATCTTTTGAGGTATGCTTGATCTTCTTCTCAAGAGGCCCTGTTAGGTGATGAAGAATCATATGCTGGTAAACATACGACTATAGTTTTCCCGGCAGCTCTTTTTCGTTGATAACCTTCAAGTCACCATCCGTCGTTTGATATTCCTGACGTCATTCGAGCTATCATCAAACCACTTCCGCAAGAGCTAGATTGGATAGTCCACAAATTTTGATATCTCTGTAGCAAATTTTGATATCTCTTTTTGCTGTATCGAGAACTTGATATTTCTAGTCTTCTTCAATGTCTTTAAGAAAAAGACTCCTTGATTCCCTTGGTTCAAATTTCATCCTTGCCCACCCCACGGTTTCATCTAAAGCTGATAAAAATCCACACGCTTACACATGCGTCATAGTTATAATTACCAAGACGCCCATGTAACCAGTATTTGGTGGTTGTGTTTGATCCTTTAGTTTTTCCCAATAAGCCGCATTATAGCTAGACCCCGTCATAAATAGCACGACAGAGATGATACATCCTGTTATAATGCCATCAATGCTTGCTAGGAAGTCACTATCTGTCGTACTAGGAACCGGAGCAGGGTTAAGCTGAAATCGATATTTACAATTCCCTGGATGTATTCCGGGTAGTGATAGTGCCCCAGAGCCTTGAGGATAGATTTGTGTGAGACATAGCCGTATTGGTTGGGGTGGTCAAACCAAACGATTGTGAAGTCTCCCTGATTGATCTTGACGTACCGAATGTCCAATGCATCCAGGGAATCATTGAATCCTGCCTTTCTGCACAATTATGTATTCGGTGTCTTATACGGGAACTTCTTCTTGCAAGTATTGCAAAAAACATTTTTTCCTTTTACTTTCAGGATTATATGGTCCTGAATGAGCCAAGGTGGCAGATTTCTCTTCCTTGGAAACAAGTATTCCATCTGTTGCCTGCATGCATTCCTTTTCTCCATATCATATTCAAAAGCGTCCAGGGCCAAAGTTTAAGTATGCCCATACCATTCAGTTCTGATGGTGATCATGATCGGGCTTTCCTCACCACTTCCTTCCACGCCAGTCCTTTCTGTAGTTCATCAAGGGGGGATTTCCCTGTCGCAGCAGAGGGTCTCTGTTTCATATATTGTTCCATATCTTGTCGTGAGGCGTCCAGCCGACCAGAACCTTCCAACCCCTCACAGACACTAATTAAATGATTAATTATCTCTTATATCCAAAAGCTATTTATTGTTAACGTCATAATATTAGTTATATCTAGGTTAGGAGGGGTATACGAGCTCCCTAGGCCCCGTCTGGTCTTTATAGACCCCGAACAGAAGGCGAGAGGTCTATAAAGACCAAAGGGGTCTATGAGCCCGTAGACCCCTCCTAACACAGAGATTACGAATTTGTGTCACCCTGACAATCTTTTATTACTTTTGTTTCTGCAAAATTATAAGTCACTTTGTGACTTTGAGTTTTGCTTGTCTGCAACAAAAATAGCCCCTACCGGACACCTTTTCGGCAATATTTTGGACAATACACAACCATATTTGTAATGAGCACCCTAGCGGCTTTTTCATTGAATTTACTGTCGTTTTAGATTGCTTGTAAGCCATTTCATCCTGTGAATGATTTGCAAACCTCGAATGCTTGTGTGTGTCGGACGCCATCTTTGTTGTTATGAAGAGATATTCTAGTTTGAGTTTTCTCCCCTCGCACGTGCGTTTTTAGCCCACGGCAGAGCGGGTTCTAACAAAATATAGACCCCGGCAAGATATCCAATCAGAAAGAGTGTTAGAAGGGCGACGAAGGGTTTTATATGTGTCTTTTGCTGTACCTCTTCCAATGTTTTAGACATATATTTTCACTCTTTTCACCTGTAAAATTACCTCATATGAATTCTCAATTAACGAAATGGCCGGATGGTGGAGTTAAATGTTTACTTTGTTTGATTTTAGCTATGACTAACTAATGTTTTAGTAGGTGCCTCATTACTTCGAATTTCTAGTGATTATAACACATCGAAACTAAAGAAAAAATGACACAATTTCAAACAAACAATCTTTATTGAGCGACGCCTATTCCGTTCCCCTCCCTACGATAACGGACTGTAAGGCCGACAATAGATCAGACTGGTCGCCAAGCCACAGTGACACGCGGGCCTTATACAGGTGTGATTTTAACGTCACGTTCGAGTTGAAATCCATATAGAATCTCTGACTGATGTCATACGGAATCCACATCGGGTTGTTGTTCATGTTCGGATTCCTGATAAAATAAACAACAAATTAATAAGTATGTCTTCGATACTCCATGGGTTTCGCTCACTTTCACTCTCTGCACTTCTGGAATATGTCGTAGCAAAATCGAAAGCATGCGAGTAGCTTTTTGATTGATCTCAGTTTTAAAAAAACCCTGACCAATCGCTCGGCTAATATTCATTTGATAATTACAGAGGAGCGACACCCGATTTCAAATCCACTCAATTTTATGTGACCGACAGACTCTTTTGATGTTCATCAAAGGATGAAACTGGTCTTCTCGTGTTTCATCCACAAGGTGGTGCACACTGAACCTTCGATCTTGCTAAGTATATTCAAGGTTGCAGAGAATGAAAGTGAGCGTAACTCCCGGAGTATCGAGGGTGACCCCAAATAGATTCTTAGAAGAAAAACCAGACCGTAAAGGGAGCAAATAGTTACAGCCTCTTGCGATCTTACAATAGCATACATGTAGCCATGTAAGCGCAGAAAGTGCAAGGGAATATGTGCATCGAAAGAAACACTGACGTTTCGATGGTCTGACTCCTGGGTTTTTGACGTTTGGTGTAAAAGAAGTTGAATTTAAATATTCAGTTATCCAACGGGCATATATGATACACTGGAAAGCTTAATCAATGTCTTCCGCCACTTTGCTATACCATTTAAGTACTGTTAGTAGAGCATCTGTTGATATGTAAGGGATCAGTCATGGAGAATTATAAGCCGAAAAATATACCAAAACTCCCACTTCTTCTTGAGATGAACCTAACTTGTAATAGACTGCGACCATTCACAAGGTCAAGTAACTACAATGTACGCTGATCCTGTCTACGATGTTTTATTTGTACATTGATAGACATTATCCGAACAAAATGTGTTAAGAAAAACGTACTAACCCATGGTTTCAATACACCCTTAACGTTTTTGCGTGTTTATGATTTCCGGCATATATTTTATCAGTGATAGATCATTCTACTATCATTAACAGCTCATATTTCACTACACTTACCCAATTTTCGCAAAGTTGGTCCAGTGTGTCATCATCCGCTGTGATAGGGCCATGTCTGCTGCGGAAACAGTGATGTTGAATTTACTCTTCAACTCCTGTGCGCCAAACAAGAAAAACACTTCTGAAGCGTGCGGCGCTCCGACAAACCAATGAGGAAGAGATTGTAAGGAAGGCGTGTCGATGCTTGGTCTATTGAACATATACTGATAGGTGGAGGTAAGGATGTTTCCCGCTGAGTGTATACCCAGAGATTCTATGGCTGGAACTACGAAGTTGACATCGGCAAAACAATCCAGTACACTGCTGGCTTGCGCAGCTACATCGGACCTACCGTATGTTGAACAGGCGCTAGCTGGGGATATTGTACGGCTCGACACTGCCTCAAATGTAGCAGTAAATATGGGCACCAGGTAGTTACAGAAAACGCTTGTTGGAACACCTGTCTTAAAGTCGAAGTTCTTAGATTTACCAATTTTAGCTAGCCTTTCGAGAAAAAGCGAACCTTCCTGGTTTACATTCCCTGCCATGTAGTCTAACGACCGAAAGAACTGAAAAGAAGGCGACGAAGTGTTGCTAAGCAACTTATATGGGCTGTCAGTAATGAGAGTGTGATCAATCACTGGTCCTATTATAGGGTGGAGAACGGGCCCAAAATTATCAGACTGCATAAATAGTGCAACATTTTGGGTGTTTAAAAGCTTAGCAGCAGGAATGGAACGCATACATCGTACGTACGCATCATCAAGTTTACCGGTGGTCGATGAGCAGTTTAGACTGACCCCAACATCGCGTGCAAATGATGAAGAATTATCCCAGACGGCGATGTTCGATAGAGACACACCACTCTCAGCAATCACTCTTTGGAATAGTCCTCTATTCATAGGATTGATAGATTGCAAGGAAACGCTTATAGATCCGGCAGATTCTCCAAATAGAGTCACGGAACTTGGATTCCCTCCGAACTCCGCTATGTTAGTTTTAACCCACTGCAAAGCAAGGCGTTGATCCCAAAGACCGTAATTCCCAGGTAAAATTGAATCCATTGTGCTTAAAAACCCAAATACACCTAGACGGTAATTAACTGTTACAACGATCACATCCCCTGTTTTTGCTAAGAAGGACGCGTCATAAAGCATGGCCTGTCCCACAAGGAAAGCCCCGCCGTGTATCCACACCATCACTGGCTTGTTAGACCCAGCTACAACACTTCCTGGAACGTACACATTGAGATACAAACAGTCTTCAGATTTATTCAGGTTTGGCAAGAATTTATCGGTCTCGGGATATGGTGGTTGCAGACAAGAAGGTCCGAATTGAGTGCCATCCCTGACCGTTGTCCAAGGATCAGATGGAACTGATTTGGCAAATCTCAATGGTCCAACCGGAGGTTTAGCATACGGTATATTTCGAAATTGATTCACATTGTTTTCCAGTATCCCTCGCACTTCTCCCATTCTTGTACGAACGGTCGGATTGTTTTGACCGATCACTATAACAGGAATCGTCATCAACAACATGTGGGAAAGGATGGTGGCCATTTTTACTGAAACACAGAAATGGTCAATAAATGTGAAAAACTGCCATTTAAATATTCCATAATAATAGTTGGTCTCACGACTCGACTTGCGACTTCATAAGTGGCGACACAAAAGTGACTTTGTTGATTTTATCAGGTCATCGACGTAATGACATTTTTCGTTAGTTAATAACATGCGTTATAAGACATCAATATATACGCGTCCTTATTTTCTAAAAATTGCCCGTGCAACTTTCTTCAAATCGCCTCCATCGCGGACAAATTAATTTTATTGAGTGAGGGACCACGCATGCATGTCAATACTTAATCGTTTCCTCATACACTTATGTTAAGTTTGTAAGAAAGTAGCATCTGCTTCAGAAGGTCCAAATCGCTTTGCATTGTTGAATGAGGCATCAGTGCATGGCTCCTATGACGTCACAATTAAGTACAATAACGAATATGCACATTTCAAGTTCTCCAATTGGTTTGTGGAATGCAGCGGAAAATATTTCTAGTATGTAATAATAAACTCTCGATATTTTAAATGTTTTGAATAAAGTTACGAAACATATATCAACGTCGTCATTTCTCAGGGCGACCGTTTTTCTGTTTAATTGATCATAAAAAGTTACTTAAGTGTGATTTTGTACCTGGTACTTGTACAGAGTTAGTAGTCTTGTATACCTGCGTCAAAGATCTGATATTATGTGCCTAAAAAAACGTGAACGCTAATATGGTTACTTTTACGATATAATTTTACCCCATCAAAACATACAATCAGAATGCAGTTTTGTAACAGTTTAAATTATATATAAATACAATGTATACTACCTTATTGTCCACTGGACAATGTCTGTGCGGTGATAGCGAGTAGCAGAGAAGTTCATATATGGCCTAACAGATTATCTGTTGTTGATGGACACACTGTACAATCGGCAAGATGTCAGATAACGTCAGGTGAAAGTACGTCAGCACCGAACATGTCGACAACCCGGTCGACTGGTCTTGTATGGTCGGTCAGGTAGTAAATATTTCGTGTGCTTATTTACTGGAGTTACTGAATACTATATGCTGAGGTTTAACACACTGCACATAAGGTGTATTTCATGAGGTAAATATAATCGAATTTATTTGTAAAATTGATAACAATTTTTGATATATTTTTTTTTACTATTTGACCCCGGCAGCATTAATCAAGCGCCGCTGTAGTGTTTACGATTAGGCGTTTAATATACATATCAAAGTATTTAAGAAACAAATCGCTCCTCGGCATTCTATGGAGATACATGCATACATGACGCAACTGATATAATGCGGTACTACCGTATAGCAGAATATTTCCGCGGGGATGATATTTTCGCGGTTTCGCGGGCCAATAACGTGATTGCGTAAAAATGAATCGCAACAATACACTTTATAACTGTATTGTCGTGAATAGCAAGAACGTGGTTATGACGATTGATATATATAAAGTGTAATGATGTGTGAAAAAACCCCGAAAATAGCTATAGGTTATATCACACATCTAATTATTTGTTGATTATTTGTTATACAAAAAGCACTTTACTTGTTGTTTCTCAATAAGGTCTATTCATTTGACTATTTGACACTTAATATGCTGAATTTCCCATCATTGTACTAAAACACCGCGAAACTTTACTTCCATCAATGTCTAGATCGCGTAATTATAATCTTTTAATTTTCAAATTTTGGATCAAAATCGAGAAATGTAAGCCCACGTTAATAACTCGCTAAACTGTATTACACAACTAGGATTCCGACTCATACCTCAATTATATAGTGGAATGAAAGAGATTGGCAAGAGCATACAAATACTGAGATAATCTTGTTGTATGCCCCGCATGTAAGCATTGGAGTTTTGTATGAATGCAATAGATATATGAGGTTTTTAGCAGTACGGGCGACTAGGAAACCTTTTGTTGTGAACTTTCTGTTCAAAGAAGGCAATGAAGTAAGGTATTACTGTACTCAAGAGGATATCCTCCAATGAACACTTTATAAATAAAAAGGAGAACCTCAACAAGTTTTGAATCAACCTTCTCTCTAATTGGTTGTTATGCTTTTTTACATGTGTCGTCAATGTAATGTGGAGGTTATGACGTTATCATATATGATATGGAATATTAACAATACTTGCAACATCGAACCGTGCGGAACCCGAATTATATTTCTTGCGTACGGAATGTACAATCACTGATGTAGTAAATTCCACATATGTTTAGGGTCACTTTAGATATAGGTGATAATTCGTTAGACGTTTCGTACCACTGATGAGTAGCAAATGTATGAAAAGGCCATATGGTTCACTGAAACCTATCTTTTTTGGTTTTCTGCATTAACAAATAAAATACATTTATTCGAAGTACTAACCGAAAACCTGTCAAATGTTAGTTTTTCTTTATTAAATTTCTAAAGAAAGATTTTATTAATTAATATTTTTAAGGTAAAAAGGACATTCGACAGGCGGCTTTCCAACATTTAAGACCTATAAGACTGTATCTGTTCTGGAATTGTTTGGGCAACCAACGCAATCAATTGGTGATAACATCGGCCCAAGACCAATACATTGTTTTGTCACACATGAGGAACAGATAGACAAATCCTGCAAGCACCACAAGGAACACTGTCGGTACGCACAGCCAAAATGTATAGATATATCGGTGTCCTTTAAAGTTCCCAATTCTTCAATGGCGATACAAGGTGGCTCGACTCGCATGCCTTGACGTCATGCAAAAGGGGCCAAGGCGGATGGGCGACAGCGGGTCTGCAGAAAATAATGTGAACTGAACAGCGACAGCCGAGTTCAGGAACATGATTAATAATGCTTTATGATGGTGTGGACTTGAATCTGTATGCATACAAGGAGTATTCATAATTAGATATAAAATAGTCAGCCAAAGGTACAAAATGACACTAACTTGACATATTTTTTGTATTGAACTCGAAACATTTAGTAAATTTAAGGAAACCAATAAACCCTCTTGAAGTAAAAACCTTATATTCTTATACGTAAATATATGCTTCCTTCCATTTGGCAATCACAATTTTCCTAACATTTGCCAATGTGAAAATACAGTATAAATTTGAATAAAATCTTACTTTTTAAGGGGAGTTATTGCACGGAAACCAAGCTGATAGACGAACAAATGGAACAAACCAAAGAAGTATTCCCTGTTCTCTCCAAAAATAGTGATTGGATAAAAGAAATCTACTTATGAAGAAGCATTAGGTATAAAAAAAAAAAATCATTGTATGTCTTTTGTCCTTGAAAACATAATATACGTGATGTACATTGATTGGAATTCTCTGATCGAATTAGCTGTTTAAGTGTAGCGCGAGGAGGTTTGTAACATATTTGGCAATGTTTCTTCCCACATGGTCACACGGTCAGCATATAGACGAGTCCTCAAGGTGATCTCGGTATCCAAACTAATGAAGGATCTCTCGTCACTGTCGTAGGCTTTCCATAGTGGTAAATCGGCAGAATTCGGATCTCTGAAAAGAAAAAGGTAAATAAATCTATACCATTGGGTCAATGACAAAACTGTTTGTGATAGACCTAAACAAAACTGAACGACAACAGGAATCGCACAAGTGTTTTGCTTCGGGCATCCACATGCATGTCTCGTGATGATTGCCAAAAACAGCATTATGGAAGTAATGTCAATAGTAAAAGCATATGGGAAAAAACGATAATGTCCAAGTGTAAAATAAGTAATTTGAACTCAATATCTAAAATCGAAATTAGAACAGGCCAAACATTTGAATATATCATGCGCTGCAATTAGCTATAAGAAGGTCAGTGTTGGCTTATTCATACTCAGTCATTTTTCGACATGGTCATAATAATACAGCTAGATACTACAGGTCCAGCATCAGACCTACAGTGGCTATAACGAGGATGTTACTTCTTCATAGATTTTAACGCTATATTCCATTGCTATTCATAAAAATGTTATTTGTAACTTTAAAACACCAACGACTTCCTTCAAATACCGTAATTGAAATAATGAAAATTTTAACTTATTATTCAACTAGATAAATTCAACTAGATAAATTCAACAGAATTTAGATAAATTCAACTATAGAATCAGAAGAAAGAGATAATTATGGTTATAATGAAATAACTCATTATGTATACAATATCGTCGAATTTAAACACATTCTCGAGAATAACATACATTACAGAAATGTAAATATATGAACATGGATCTATATTAACGACAATGATCATTTTACTAAACATAAGAATAATAGTAGAGGTTGAAATGTTCAATATTACCGCGAATGCACCAATTGGCAATACTGACTTTAAGCGATTATTTAACAATATAATTTGAACGCAAACATTTTCAAAAGAACCACTTGATTACCCACATCTTACCATATTTTATTTTACCTACATTCTTTCCTTTCTTATTGATGTTCCTTCCTTTTCCCCCTCATAACTAATAAATTGAGCGAATGTCTTATCATATATACTTGATTACAGTGTTATTTAACGCCAAAACCTTGAAACGGGACTTAAGAATACACAAAGAAAACAATACAAAGAAATATGAAAAGATAAATAAAGTACCAAATCCAGCAAAGGAACACATACCCATTTTTAGCAAAATTACTCCAATATTTCATCATTTGTTGTGACAACACTAAATCATTAGGATCCACTGTAATGTTGTACTTTCGAAAGAAATCCTGAATTCCGAAAAGAAAGAGAAGTTCCGATGTATGAGAAGAGCCTTTGATCCACAGAGGAAGAAGCTTGTGTTCATGGGTGTCCAGGTGAGGTCTCTCAAACAGGTATTGGTAAGTCTTACTCTCTGGGTTACCATTAGAATGGAAGTTAAGTATTCTGATCGACGGTACCACGAATATAGCGTCAGTAAAGGCGTCTACAACCTTGATTGCTTGTTCAGTAAGGTCAGAACTTGCATAAAGAGGACAAACATAACCCTTTGACAACGTAAAATTCACCGAATCACCGTAAAATGCAGAGACCAAGGAAGGGAAAAGCATTCCGAAGAATACATTGGAAGGAACACCGAGGTTGATATCGAAATTAGCAAATTTAGCAATAGTATTTAAACTCTTACTGACGATTGAACCATCTTGATTAGTAATACCCGTTATAAAATCCAATGTCCGGAAGAATTTATATGACGGTGAAGACAAGTTGGTCATTAAATTTGAAGGAACATCAGGAATCAATAAACCGTCAACCACAGGACCTATTCGAAGTTCTACTTTCATTGATGGATCAGGAATCAGTATTATTTCTTGCTGTGCAGAGAGAAGACGTTCTGCGGATATTTGACGCAAACAGGAAATAAAAACCTCTCCGAAAGTGTCAACTGTACAATTTAAAGAAATTCCGACAGCAGAGGAAATCGTTTTGGAAGAAGGACATAATGTAAGTGTAGAAGTAGGAACTCCACTTTGAGCAATCACTCGATGAAAAAGTCCTATGTTCATTGGATTCAGTGCGTGAAGGGTGACGCTGAAGCCTCCTGCAGATTCTCCAAATAGCGTCACAGATCTGGGATTTCCCCCGAAAGAAGTTATATGTTCATGAATCCATTCTAATGCGAGCTGTTGATCCCAGATTCCATTATTCCCAGGAACTCTACCATCCAAAGATGTCAGAAATCCGAAAACTCCAAGACGGTAGTTCAAGGTCACAACTACCACGTCCCCATTAAGTGCAAGGTGTGATGCATCGAAATACATTGCTTGTCCGAACAAGTACGCCCCGCCATGGATCCAGACCATGACCGACTTGTTGGACATCGTAGAGGGATGCCCAGGCACGTACACATTAAGAGATAAACAATCCTCGGATTGGCGCTGGTGTGGCAACATCCTCTCATACTCTGGTGGACCTTCCTGCAAACACGATGGTCCAAACTGGGTGCCATCCAAAACTCCATTCCATGGTCCGTGTGCTTGTGGTTTGGAAAATCGAAGATTTCCTACAGGCGGTTTTGCGTAAGGAATGTTTCTGAATTGATGCACTTCATTTTCTACAATGCCTTCGATTTCTCCCAGTTTAGTAAGTACTGTTGGTGCTCCACGACTACACACAGCCACAGAGAGTACGATTATGGTTGTTCTATACACCGAAGCCCACATGGTGCTGAAATACAGAAACAATCAGACTTGAAACATTAACTTTCAAGGCATCCATTACTAATAATGTTTGCCATTACTAAAAATGTTTGCTAGTATTATACTAATCGAATCACCTCAAGCATGCGACGGAAAAATTCGAAGTGATCCGATTGTATTATATAAAGCCAAAAGTTTAAAACAATTTAAAAACAGCATCATAAAGACTATTCTGGTAAATAATCATTGTAGTTTAAGAAGCAAGTACGTTACTACCGAATTTCAAGTAACATTTAGCATTACATTACATTGCAAAAATCTATTTAAAACGGTTAATGTAATAATAAGTAAGATTTCGGATTACATATTTCCAAGTAAGATATAACATTAGGTGTTTACAAGTATATTAGGATAACATGGTTACCATTGAGATACCGGTACATGGTTGCATGCTAAACAGATCATGGTGGTAGTAAAAATGATTATTTTATATATCGACATATCCTCGCCCTGTAAACACGGTAGGTGAGGGAAGCTGGGACGTTACTATCAAGAAAAGTGAGGTTCACGAAAGGAAAATCGAATTTTCACGCTTATTAAACAGGAATCCATACCTACAACATAATATCATTGTAGCATCTATTCTTAGGTGCGGTTGTTTTTTTGGCGTGATATAATTGTAAAATAGTGTAAGATAAACACGGAAGCAGAAATAATGGAAAAGATGAAGAGCAAATAATGCATGTCACTAAAGCAACTTAACAATGGAAAATATTAGTGTGTAGGCAATCACGCTCACTTTCGTTCTCTGCACCCCTGGAATATGTCATAGCAAAATTGAAGACTCGGTGTGCGCAACCTTGTTGATGAGACAGACAAGAAGACTAATTCGATCCCTTGATGTACATCAAAAGAATCTCGCGGTCGCGTAACGGTAAAAAAAAATACTGGCTTTGAAGTAAGGTGTCGCTCCTCTGTAATCTTCAAACGACAGGTATCAGCCTAGCGACTGGTCAGCTTTTTCACCTGAGACAAATCAAACAGCTATCTTCGTGCCTTCAATTTCGCTATGACATATTTCAGGGGTGCAGTGCGTGTAAGTGAGCGTAACCCCTGGAGTACCGAGGATGTTAATCCTCAAACTTACCTTGTTGGAGAATGTAGGTTTATGTCAAGCGAACATTAATACATCACAAAGTGTTATCGCTAATGTACCCGAGCTGAGTCTACCAGGTAATGAACCCAAATATATCGTTACACTTGTAGCTTTAGAGGGCCGTGTGTGCGATAACAGACTTGATATGTATTCCTCGACCTTGAATATCAATGTATGTACCGAGTACAAGGTACGGGGGATTACTCGTGTCATTTGTCCTTTCGTCCCTTTGTCCTAAAATGACGTACTCTCTCACTTTAAAATTACAATCGATCCAGAGGTAGAAAAGACGAAATGGCACGACTCAGCTACCGTAACAAGAATATGTTAACACACCCGTATAAATAAATCTTTCAAGTAGTGACAAGTTTATCATAACTGACTTTGCAACACCTTTATCTCGGTGTATACAGTAAAAATGTAATGTGTCAACACCAAGGTACATCTATAGATAAACTCACATGTCATGTGACCTACATAAGAAATCCTAATTGACATAAACATTTTGAATATTACGCTTTATTTGTCAATAAATTCGTTTACTGCATGCTCTCCGTCTTTTACCCATCCATTAGTTGAACCGGTTTGCAGTAAACACGTGAGTGTAGGCGGTTTTCTACTCATTGTGAGTCGGTATAACAGTTACTAAGTGTCATAGATACGTTTTGAATACTTCATGCTGAAATTGTACAAATTAGATTAACACCTCTTAATATCTTAAAATCATTAATTTCAAGGTTTTCACGCATCTCCTTTTTCTGTTTCACAGGTAGTTTACACCAATTTGAAATTTTAGTTAACCCTAATCATCACAGAGGAGTCCTGGAGGGATAAACGTAACAAACAGAGGCGAATGCAATGTATGTATGTAATAGATACAAGAAGGTAAAATGAAGTACACTGCATCACACGGCTATATATGGTGCGTACACTGCATCACACACACTGCATCAAACAGCTTTATATGGTGCGTACACTGCATTACACAGCTATATATGGTGCGTATACTGCATCACACGGCTATATATTGTCGTACACTGCATCACACAGCTATATATATTGCGTACACTGCATCACACAGCTATATATGGTGAGTACACTGCATCACACAGCTATTTATGGTGCGTACACTGCAGCACACGGCTATATATGGTGCGTACACTGCATCAAACGGCTATATATGGTGCGTACACTGCATCACACGGCTATCTTTGGTCGTACACTGCATCACACAGCTATAAATGGTGCGTACACTGCATCAAACAGCTTTATATGGTACGTACACTGCATCACACAGCTATATATGGTGCGGACACTGCATCACACGGCTATATATGGTGAGTACACTGCATCACACAGCTATATATGGTGCGTACACTGTATCACACGGCTATATATGGTCGTACACTGCATCACACGGCTTTATATGGTGCGTACACTGCATCACACAGCTATATATGGGGCGTGCACTGCATCACACGGCTATTTATGGTGCGTACACAGCATCACACGCCTATATATAGTGCTCAAACTGCATCACACGGCTATATATGGTCGTACACTGCATCACACAGCTATATATGGTGCGGACACTGCATCACACGGCTATATATGGTGAGTACACTGCATCACACAGCTATATATGGTGCGTACACTGCATCAAACGGCTATATATGGTGCGTACACTGCATCACACGGCTATGTATGGTGCGTACACTGCATCACACAGCTATTTATGGTGCGTACACTGCAGCACACGGCTATATATGGGGCGTACACTGCATCACACAGCTATTTATGGTGCGTACACTGCATCACACGGCTATATAAGGTCGTACACTGCATCACACAGCTATAAATGGTGCGTACACTGCATCACACAGCTATATATGGGGCGTGCACTGCATCACACGGCTATTTATGGTGCGTACACTGCATGACACAGCTATTTATGGTGCGTACACTGCATCACACGGCTATATATGGAGCGTACACTGCATCACACGGCTATATATGGTCGTACACTGCATCACACAGCTATAAATGGTGCGTACACTGCATCAAACAGCTTTATATGGTGCGTACACTGCATCACACAGCTATATATGGTGCGTACACTGCATCACACGGCTATTTATGGTGCGTACACTGCATCACACGCCTATATATAGTGCTCAAACTGCATCACACGGCTATATATGGTCGTACACTGCATCACACGGCTTTATATGGTGCGTACACTGCATCACACAGCTATCTATGGTCGTACACTGCATCACACGGCTATCTATGGTCGTACGCTGCATCACACGGCTATATATGGTGCGTATACTGCATCACACGGCTATATATGGTGCGTACGCTGCATCACACGCCTATATATGGTGCGCACACTGCATCACACGGCTATATATGGTGCGGACACTGCATCACACGGCTATATATGGTGCGCACACTGCATCACACGGCTATATATTGTCGTACTCTGCATCACACAGCTATATATGGTGCGTACGCTGCATCACACGGCTATATATGGTGCGTACCCTGCATCACACGGCTATCTATGGGCGTACACTGCATCACACGGCTATCTATGATCGTCCCCTGCATCAAACAGCTATATATGGTGCGTACCCTGCATCACACGCCTATATATGGTGCGTACACTGCATCACCCGGCTATCTATGGTCGTACACTGCATCACACGGCTTTATATGGTACGTACACTGCATCACACAGCTATCTATGGGCGTACACTGCATCACACGGCTATCTATGATCGTACACTGCATAAGCCAGATATATATGGTGCGTACACTGCATCACACGGCTTTATATGGTGCTTACACTGCATCACACAGCTATCTATGGTCTTACACTGCATCACACGGCTATCTATGGTCGTACGCTGCATCACACGGCTATATATGGTGCGTACGCTGCATCACACGCCTATATATGGTGCCCACACTGGATCACACGCCTATATATGGTCGTACACTGCATCACACAGACTGTATCACACAGCTATATATGGTGCGTAAACTGCATCACACAGCTATATATGGTGCGGACACTGCATCACACGGCTATATATGGTGCGAACACTGCATCACACGGCTATTTATGGTGCGTATACTGCATCACACGGCTATATATGGTGCGTATACTGCATCACACGGCTATATATGGTGCGTATACTGCATCACACGGCTATATATGGTGCGTCCACTGCATCACACGGCTATATATGGTGCGCACACTGCATCACACAGCTATATATGGTCGTACACTGCATCGCACAGCTATATATGGTGCGTACACTGCATAACACAGCTATATATGGTGCGTACACTGCATTACACAGCTATATATGGTGCGTACACTGCATAACACAGCTATTTATGGTGCGTACACTGCATCACACGCCTATATATGGCGCGCAAACTGCATCACACGGCTATCTATGGTCGTACACTGCCTCACACAGCTATATATGGTGCGTACACTGTATCACACAGCTATATATGGTGCGTAAACTGCATCACACAGCTATATATGGTGCGGACACTGCATCACACGGCTATCTATGGTCGTACACTGCCTCACACAGCTATATATGGTGCGTACACTGCGTCACACGGCTATATATGGTGCGTACACTGCATAACACAGCTATTTATGGTGCGTACACTGCATCACACGCCTATACATGGTGCGTACACTGCATCACACGGCTATTTATGGTTCGTACACTGCATCACACGCCTATATATAGTGCTAAAACTGCATCACACGGCTATATATGGTCGTAAACTGCATCACACAGCTATATATGGTGCGTAAACTGCATCACACAGCTATATATGGTGCGGACACTGCATCACACGGCTATATATGGTGCGGACACTGCATCACACGGCTATATATGGTGCGCACACTGCATCACACAGCTATATATGGTCGTACACTGCATCGCACAGCTATATATGGTGCGTACACTGCATAACACAGCTATATATGGTGCGTACACTGCATAACACAGCTATATATGGTGCGTACACTGCATAACACAGCTATTTATGGTGCGTACACTGCATCACACGGCTATCTATGATCGTACACTGCATAAGCCAGATATATATGGTGCGTACACTGCATCACACGCCTATACATGGTGCGTACACTGCATCACACAGCTATATGTGGTGCGTAAACTGCATCACACGGCTATATATGGTGCGTATACTGCATCACACGGCTATATATGGTGCGTACACTGCATCACACAGCTATATATGGTGCAGTGCACTGCATCAAACGGCTATATATGGTGCGTACACTGCATCACACGGCTATATATGGTGCGTACACTGCATCACACAGCTATATATGGTGCAGTGCACTGCATCAAACGGCTATATATGGTGCGTACACTGCATCACACGGCTTTATATGGTGCGTACACTGCATCACACAGCTATATATGGTGCAGTGCAATTACTTATCCTATGTTTACTAATAATAACACCCTTTTTGTATGTGTAATAAGTCTAAAATTTCCACACGTTGACATCAGCCCGGGTGATATCACAACCCCTTGAAAGTGATAGCACACCTCCTAGAAAAGTGATATCACACCCCCTAGAAAAGTGATATCACACCCCACAGAAAAGTGATATCACACCACCTAGAAAAGTGATATCACACCCCACAGAAAAGTGATATCACCCCCCCTAGAAAAGTGATATCACACCCCACAGAAAAGTGATATCACACCACCTAGAAAAGTGATATCACACCCCACAGAAAAGTGATATCACACCCCCTAGAAAAGTGATATCACACCTCCTCCCAAATTTCCGGATTTTGCCGCTTCCGCTTATTGCTGTCTGCTTTTAATGTAAACAAACGAATTGCTGGCATGGAATAACTGCGTTGTTAAAAATAGTAATAGCCATAATATTTTGTAGGAATTTGGGAATTTCTAAATGTTGACTTTTTACGTATAAATGTTACTGTTTTGTTTATATACATCATTGTGTTTGTTACCATTTTTATGAATATCAGTAAATAAAATAAAGATTAACTT